GGGCCTCTTCCAATCAGTTGAAGGCCTTAAGAGCAAAGACAAGTTTCCCAAGAAAAACAAAAATTATGCCTCTAGAGTGAGCTCAGAAGTCCTGCTCTCGGAGAGTGCGGGCACAGATCTTGTTCGATGAAAGGGAGGAGCTGCTGCAACAAACACCTGGAAATGTGGGCGTGGCTTAGAAATTGGGTAATGGGTAGAGGGTGGAAGACTTTTGAGATGCATGACAGGAAAAGCCTAGATTGCCTTTCAGAGACTGTTGCTAGAAACATGGATATCAAAGGTGATGCTGCCAAGTGTTCAGATGAAAATGGGAAAGGTTATTGGAAACTAGAGGAAAATGGCCCTTGCTTTAAAGTGGTAGATGACTGAACTAAATTGTGTTCTGTTGTGTGGAAAGAACTTGTAAGTGACGAAACTGGTTATTTAGCTGAAAACTTTGAAACAAAAGTTGAAGGTTTAGCCTTGCTGCTAATAGTAATGTGAAGGAAGAGATCAGCTGAAGAAGGAATGTTAAGCAAAAGGAGCCAGAATGTGAAGATTTGGGAAATTCTCATCCTGATCATCCTACACACAATGAGGAACTGTGCTCTGGAGAAAATGCCAGGGTGTGTGGCTGAACAGCTGTTTGCTGAAGAGGTTTGTGGGTTATGAGTGCAGCCAACGATGATCAGGGCAGAAAGCCCACCAGTTTAGACAGAGGAGGAACTAAAGGGAGGAAGGCTGCCAGACCTGGGCCTCTGTGGCAGGAGAGGGCTGATGGAGCTGCTGGGCTGCAAACACGTCCTACTTTAGGGAAAGGGAAGAGTGACTGGAAGGCAGTTCCACTTGAAAGCACATAGTAGTCTGGTTTGATAGGTTCACAGATGAACAGGACTTTTGCTCCAGCATGAGTCTTACACCAAGTCTAACCAATGACTGATTTGAATGATTTAGATTAGGGGTGTCGAACTCAATCAGAGAAGGGGCCAAAATCTAAAATCCAGCCTAAATCGCGGGCCGAATGGTTTACTGAACAGTCATAAACTGTCATTGTGATGGAAACGCAGCGGAGTGCAGTGATGACAGCGCGGTGCGGGCCACATTGCAAGGCCTGGTGGGACGGATTTGGCCCGCGGGCCTTGTGTTTGACACATGTGATTTAGATGATGATTTTGAGTTGTTCAGATGAATATTGGCCATTGCGTGGATGCTGGAATTATTGACTGATATAGGGTGGGATGGGATTAATGTATTTTCTATGTGAATAAAATGTGAATTTTTAGGGACCACAGAACTGACTACAATGCATTTGCATTTCCCCCAAAAGATAAATTTTGATATCCTAATCTTTGGTACCTCAGAATGTGACCTTATTTGGAAAGAGGGTTTTTAGAGGTAATCAAGTTCAAATGAGGTCATCAGGGTGTGCCCTAATCCAATATGACTGAGGTGTCCTTATAAAAACGGGACACACAGCGGGTAGACAGAAAGAGGGGAACACCATGTGGAGACAGTAGGTAGAGAATGCAGTTGTCAGCTCGAGCCGTGAGAACCTGGGCCACCGAGAGCTGGAAGAAGTGGGAGTCCCTGCTTTCACAGGGAGCATGGCCCCGCCGACACCTTGATTTTGAACCTCTAGCCTCCAGAGTTGACAGATTTCTGATGTTATAAGCTACCAGCCCGATTGTGGTATTTTGTTACAATAACCCCCATTGTTGAACACAGCCTCAATTTGGGGCTTTTATAGCTATACGACAGGCCCAGTGCATGAAATTCATGCATGGGGTAGGGGGTCGCCCCAGCCAGCCTATGCCCTCTCCAATCTGCGACCTGTTGGGGATATCTGGCTGCTGGTTTAGGCCTGATCCCTAGGACAGACATCCGGCAGCCAGACATCCCTCTCACAATCCTGGACTGCGGCTCCTAATCGCTCACCTGCCTGCCTGCCTGGTCGCTCCTAGCTGCCCCCCTCTGCCAGACTGGTTGCCCCTAACTGACCCCCCTGCTGGCCTGGTTGCTCCATGCAGCCTACTGTTCAGTCGTTTGTTCACCCCTCATTAACCCCCCTGCAGACCTAGTCACCCCACTCATCTTGCTTGTTCAGTTGTTTGGTCATTCCTCATTAACCCCCTTGCCACCCTGGTCACTCCATGTAGCCTGCTTGTTCAGTTGTTTGATTGTCCCTCACAAACCCCCCTGCCGGTCTGGTCATAGGCAGCCATCTTGTGAGAGTGTGAGGGTCAATTTGCATATTACCTCTATATTATATAGGACTAGAAGCCTGATGCACAAAATTTGTGCACTGGGTGGGTGGGCTCCCTCAGCCCAGCCTGCCACCTCTCACAGTCTGGGGAGCAGGCCTAAACCAGTCTGGCCTCCCTCTGTGGGCTGACCAGTGGAAGATGCCATCCCCACCCCCCCACCCCCACTGCTGCTGCCACTGCTGGCTGCCCAGGTGTTTTCATCAACACGGACTCCAGACCCTTCACCATGAAAAAATGACAACTTTCTTCACACATTTTCTAGATGTGTCTTTCATAGGATATGACATTTCTTTCTTTTTTTCTTTTAACTCCCACCTGAGGCTATTTTTCCATTGATTTTTAGAGAGCATGGAAGAGAGAAAGACAGAAACATCAATGTGAGAGGGACACTTTGGTTGGTTGCCTCCTGCATGAGCCCTGACCTGGGTCCTGGCCAGGGAGGAGCCTGTAACCTAGCTACATGCCCTTGGTCAGAATTGGACCTGCAGGCCAAGGCTCTATTCACAGAGCCAAACCGGCTAGGGCAGGATATGACATTTCTTAGCCCTCCAGCAGTGGACCTTCATTTTTTCCTCCAGGAGTGAGGTGGAAAAACCCTCGATCACTTTCTTGGATTCTTATTACCCAAGTTACCAAGAACGCTGCGAGTGGCATACAGGGAGCTTAGCCAACAAGCAGTCAGAAATGTGTTTTCTCTGCAGCTCACATGCAGAGGCCAGCCTGCGGGGTGCTGTCTCCCGGCGGTGGCGACCTGGGTACACTCCCTGCCTCTCCGTTCCCACTCCGGAACTGCGGGGTGGTGGCCTGGGCACACCTCCCTGCATGTTGTTCTCTCAGGCTCTGGGCCACATCTGGCCCCTCCTCCGGAGCTGGTCATGACCGTTACGGCGTCCCAGCCTAATTTGCATATTGCTTCCACACACATATCTTAGGGGCCCAGTGCATGAAATTCATGCACTTGAAGAGGGGGATCCCTCAGCCCAGACCACACCCTCTCACAGTCCAGGAGCCATTAGTCGGACATCCTTCATGCTGCCAGGAGTGGGAGAAGCTCCCACCTCCACTGCTGTTCTGGCTGAGCGGCACTCCCGCTGTGGAAGCACACTGACCACCAGGGGGCAGCTCCTGCGTTGAGCATCTCATTGAGCATATCCTGCATGTCATAATGAACGGTCATTTTATGTTCGGTCCATTTGCATATTAGCCTTTTATTATGCTAATGACCTGGTGCACAAAATTTGCACATGGGGAGGGGAGTGTCCCTTAGCCCAACCTGCACCCTTTCCAATCTGGGATCCATCGCAATCCGGGACTGCTGGCTCCTAATCACTCACTGCCTGCTGCCTGAGTGGCCCTAACCACTCTGCCTGCTGGCCTGCTTGCCCCCAACTGCCCCTGCTCGACAGCCTGATCATCCTGAACTGCCCCTCCTGCCGGCATGCTCACTCCCACCTGCCCTCTCTGCTGGCCTGCTCACCCTGAACTGTTCCCCCCACCAGCCTGATCACCCCCAGTGTCCCCCCCTCTTTCTCCCCCCCACCCCCCCGCCACCGCCTGCCTGATCACCCACAAATGCCCTACCCTTTTGGTCCCTAACTGCCTCTACCTCAGCTCCACCAACATAGCTTTGTCCAGAAGAATGTCTGAAAGGTCTCCTGGAAGGTTGCCCAGTCTAATTAGCATATTACCCTTTTATTAGTATAGAGGCCTGTGCACAATTTGTGCACTGGTGGGGTCCCTCAGCTTGTGGGGATTGGGCTGAAACCAGCTCTCTGACATCCCCCCAAGGGGTCCCAAATTGTGAGAGGGCGCAGGCCAGGCCGAGGGACCCCACTGGTGTATGAATCCATGCTCTGGGCCTCTAGTATGCAGGTAGGATCTTTGGTTAATCTCTTCCTGCCCTTTCCCCTCCCTCCTTCTCTGTGATTCATTAGTCTGTTCCATGTTCCATGCCTGTGGTTTCCGCTCCTGCATTGAGCATCTGCCCCCTGGTAGTCAGTGCATGTCATAGCTACTGGCCAGCTGGTCACTTAGGCTTTTATATATGTTATGTCTTAGCACAGTTGCAATCATTGCCACAGAATTAATTCAGATACAGAATTGCTGTTAGAAAACAAACAAGATTCTGAGGCTTTCAACTTGCATTGCTAAGTGAAAGTATTAATTTAAATGGTCTCTTGGTGACAGAAGATATGACTTTGGGTGGTGGGAACAGGGTGTAATATACAGACCTTGTAACATGCAAACCCACACCTAAAACCTGTCTGTTTATGTTGACTAATATCACTCCAATCAACTTAATAAATATAAAGAGTAATTTAAATGACCTCCAATCCCGTGGGGACGCCCATGCCTTACCCTTTGACTAAGTGGGCTTTGTTCGTGCTATTTTTTAGAAATGCACCTTGTCTTAAAAGAGCAGTTCGGCTGAGCGCTGGAGAGCCCTGATAACAAGCCCTTGGACTCAACCCTGTTGCTTGGCCGGGAAGCTCCGCCCACGGCCTGTGAGGCTCAGAGGCAGTGTTTATGTGTTCCTCGTCACTGAATTCTGACTCAAGCAGTCAAGGTGTCAGAAAAGGAATGCCAGAGCATGGGGTAGGACAGTACCGGCTTACATCCTGGAAAGACTTAGGCGCAATGTTTCTAGGCTGGTCAGTGCTTGGTCTCCTAGACAGGGGTCAGCTTAGGCCAGGCAGGAAGGGACAGCAGGTAGGGAACACACTGCGTCCCAGAACAGATGTGGACAAACCATCACAGTGGAAATAAATATTAGCTTTATTAACACTTAGAGTGCCGTTCATCTATATTCCATAACCCAGGTCACTTAAAGTAACCCTGTGCACCACAATCTTTCAGATGAATTAACATTTAAAAAAAGCAATTTTCATTGTGCTAATTATTGCAGCCTTCATGCATGATAAATCTAAAAAAATGTGTGCCAACAATATACAAATTTCCATATAAACAAAGTCACTGATCACTAACAAAATATAAACATGGTTTCTTTCACATTAGATTTTTCAAAAGCTATTTACCAGCAAGAAAAACAAATACATAAAAACTCCAAAATTTTATACATTTTTACAAGCACAACTTTCAATGAACAACACAAAGTCAAAATATGCATGAAATGTGGCACATATCACGCTGTATCTGGTTTCTGGGAGGTTTTAATTATACTGGCTCTTGTAACATAATAAGCTTAGTGACATTCAACTTCAACAGTGGACTGTATTCCTAACACAAGTAACCTTTCGTGGTACCGCATATTAAAAACAAGGATTTCCTTAAGTATAAGAACATTGTCAGATTGGAAATTTAATTTCCAATTTTTTTTCCTGCCAGTTACTTAGCATACACAGTACAGAATAGAGACACTCAATGTATGTTTGGACATTTCTAAACCAATTTATAGTCAATTGCAGAGAATAATAAATGAGGTCTGACCTTGCCCAGTAAGAAAACACCTAACTGTTAACATCTTTCAGGGTAGGTTAAGGAAACAGTCAACAACAGTAGGACCAGCCAAGAGAGCCTGGAAACATAAAAGTTGTGGCATCTTTTCAAGACGAGTTATTTTCTCACGTTTTTCACAGCTCAGAGCATTCTAAGGCTGTTTTAGTGGGCAATGTGTTTTTGCTACTGCTTAAGATCTACTTTTTCCCCTTAATTTGCACTTCAGAGAATTCTCAAAAGAGTATCAATGCTCTTCCTTCCAGGAGTATTTTTAACTTATATCTAAGTAAACTTGTATCTAATTCTGGAAATACAAACATGTTTTGCATGGTTAAAAACGAAATTTTAAAAATATTTTGATCAGCCAGCTGAAAAATATATTCATATAGTAAATAATCTCTCAAAAAGCTTTTATATATATTTAATCCTAACTAAACAGTACCCTTATAAAAAACAAGTTAATAAAAATGTAGAAACAAATGAAAACAAGAAATTACTGGGATATATAAATGTGCCTACAGACAGACAGAGACATTTCCACACACAACATCCCCTGATACATGGAGTTGCAAGCATACTTTCAACTTAGTCATAGATTTTACAATACATATAAAATCAGAAAGTGAGTTGAACTCCTGAGTTCTTTAACAAAGAGAGAACCAAAATGAGCATCCATAGTAAAAGCAGTAAGGTCCATTTAAGTCTGTAACAGCAGTGCAGTTACTGACCACATGTTGAAAGAAGTTAAAACAGAGACACAGACAGTAGTTCAATGCACACATTCATGATGCTCATACACACATCAACAATTATTGGTCAAAGTAGTACATCAGTGTACAAATTAAAAACTTACAAAAATGTGCAAAAAGTCAACCTTGTAGGAAAAAAACATTATTATTTGTACATTATTAGAAACTGCCCAGCATTCAACTGAGATTAAAATTTTTTACAGAGAGAAACGAATAGGTTAAATATAAAGAATGTAATGGCTACATTAAAAAATGTACATTCAGCCAAAAGGTAAATTTACAAATTGATAATTATAGTTTGTAACAAAGTTTTTTCTCAAACTTATCCAAGTTTGCTTTTATGATGATATTTGAATAAAAAGAACCATGTGAAATGTAAGAGATGTCTGACATTAAAAGTATCCTTGGTATTAAGTATTTTATATTTCTGAATGCAGAGTAGCAAATTTTAAAACCAACAGCAATAGAAAAAATGTAAACCTTTTACTAATTAACATTGTATTAAAAACAATCCTGTTTGTAAAGAAGTATTCTCACCCTCAGACACGGTGCTTTTGCTTGAAAAGGGTATACTGCAAGGTTGGCCCCTTCCCACTTCCTTTTGCCCATAAGCCTTTTCACCTGTGTTTCCATCAGTCCTCCCTTCTTATTCCAGGTGGGAAAAAGTCTTTGGAAAAATTAGAATGTATCAAATGCATTTTGGAGTCTAAGTATCTACTAGAGTTTAAGATTTTGTTTCTTATCTCTCCCCTCTAAGTAATGCTAATGCTAAAATCACCACTAGTTACATATGCTTTTAAAAATTAAATTCTAAAAAAAAACACATAAAAGTGCTTTTTAGTATAATCACAAACTTTACTGTTCTCAACTGTCATTAAGGGACGCAGATATCCTTATTTGTGGACCAATGCTGCATGTATACTGGAACACAGACTCATATTTTTATGTTCCCAAGTGTCTATGGCACAAAGCAGACATGTCTTCACAGCTTTCCTGAAATGTCTTTCAAGTCAATCCCAAGTTCCTAAAGGTGAAGACACTAGGAAGAAAGTACACTTCCAACCTCAGGCCTCGCTAGTCAATGTGTCTATGGTCAGCTGTGTTATATACTAAGACTCGCAGGTGTACATGCTCAAGTTTGCAATGTCTATACAGCTCCATCAGAGATGAAGGGAATTCTGCTGCCTAAATGCAAACACGGAGCACCTCTCCTTTCACCGGAGGGGAGACTGAGATCCAGACTCTACTAGGATCTACTTTATCCTTCCTCTCCCATTAACTTGCTGGTGGGCAGAAGTAACATGCCAATCATTCTGGCAACGTGTGCAGGGAATATAAAAGCTTTGGTTTAAAGTGATTCTGATAATGCAGATTGTGAATGCAAACAAGAGTAACAGGCATAGGGAATAGCAGGACTCAATACTTTAATGCCTTTGCTGTTTTAACAAACATATATTACTGTCAATTATAACGCAGAATAATGAAAAACATGAAGAATTTCATAAAAGACTGGGTGCAGGCAACAGATAAGATTCTATTCTTTTCTCTAGCTGACTCCTCCTGTACTTCTGAAATGATCCCCATCATGTCCACTCTCGCCATCACCGAGAGGAGTCTCCAGACTCGCCTGAGAGCACGAGGCGAGTGGGAACCGGTGGCTCTGACCCTTCCCTCGCCTGCAGTGGCGTCTCGTTCAGATGGGCAAGGTCAGCAGGATCGGTGGCTCCACAGCATGTGCTCCCTAGCCAATCAGGAAGAGTTGTAAGAAAACTTCCTTCTGAACGTTTCATAAACTGACACACGTAAGAGGTAAAGTAGCTGGTTTTGATAATGTCTGGCAGAATTTCTATCCCAAAGAGTTCATGAAGAACTATGCAAAATCAATTACTTCCTATTTAAGGGTTATATATAAGCTATTATACAGACATACAAATTTAATTTTAATCTACTTTTAGCAACCAAGAGCTTGGCAATTCACAATAAATACCTTTATTAAACAATCATTTATACTAGTTACTGGTGGAGAATGCTGGTATTCCTACCCAAGGATGATTACTCATCCATCATCAGTAGGTCATACACATTTGAGTTGTTCCTCCAAGAACAGAAACTAATCTAACTGAACATTCACACCTTTCCTCTCTTCCCATCCCTGTTCCACTACACACACACACACACACACACACACACACACACACACTCTTCACAGAAATGTAAGTTAGAGTTTTCATTACAATATTAGATTAGAAATTTGCTATCCCTGGATTTCTTGCTCATTGCCCTAAGTCTCGTTGCCTGAACATTTGTAAACCATTTAAACACCTCTTTAGGGCAAAAACAACCATTCTACCTCTGCTATGATAATCAGAACCGAACCATAACATACAAAGAATCGGGACAGTGTCAATCTGATTGAAAATCAAGTAACCCACCAGAAAACACTTTACCATCTGTCTTTAGAATTAGAATACTCTCTCCTATCTTAGCAGTCCACGTCTAGAGGAAACTGTGGTGTGTCTGTGGCAGATTAATGCTGATATTTATCTTCTAACATTAAAAAAAAAGAGGTAGAAAAGGGGAGGAGAAGGAAGCAGGCAGTAAGAAATATTTAAGGGCTAATACACAGTCTAAGGCCAAACCAATTCTTGAAACTCCTGATTTGGGGGGGAAAAAACCCTTCATTTTGGTGGGTAACATGAATTATTCATATAAAATAAAATTAAGGCATACAGAGAAAAAGGCACTACCAAAAATTAACAATTAAATTGCTTTTCATTAACATTTAACGATCTAAAATTCAAATAAATATGAACATTACATTCATAACAAAGGGCAAAACTAATATAAAACAGGAAGGTTTCAAGAAATTGCCCGGATCTTAGTATAAATAACACTGTTGACAGAGTTCAATTTCTATAACATTTTTTAAGGTATTTCGACAACTTAGACCAAAAGAAAAGTGTTTTTTTTTTTTCTTTCTTTTTTCTTTAAAAGAAACAGAAGGAAAAAGCACTATTTATGGAATAAATGCCCTTCATCGCCGGAACTGTCTGAGCAGAGGCGGTTTGCGGGAGGGAGTCCTGAGAGAGAGGCTGCCTGAACAATGGAGGTGCCTCTAATTTGGGGCTACTTTTAATTCACGCTGTTAATGACATTTAGTTTACAATGGCCAATAATTACCCAAAACTGCTATTTCCTTACATCACAAAAAACCGTCAGATTTAAAACATCGTTGCTGAGTTCTGAGTTAGGTACTGCTAGCCCATGCTTCCTCCGAGACTGATGGTCTGACGCTAACTCAGTGCTGACACAATAAGCCAGTTACTGAGTAAGCAAATAAAAAAGATTCACCTTTTTAAAAAAAACTGAAAGATTGCTCTACTTGACTGACACCAGATGATCTTCTATCCAAGGCTATTGGTCCCTAGACCCCAAGTGAAACCCCTGGCTCAGACTCTGCCATGGCCAAGGCGTTGAGCCTATACACTATTCAGATAGGATTTTCTTAACGACTTCACACATCCTTTCCACTCTGACAGAGAAATAATAAGATCAGACCCGACACAGATAAGAGGTAAGGTAGCAGAAAGCTGCTCTAAACAATTTTTCTTTTTAACGTAGCTTCTAGAGAATAAGACAGACTCTCAAGTGAAAGCCAATTCAATTTACTCTAAAATAAGCTTTAATTTTTTTTAGTTAATTCAACCTGTGCGTTTCAATCTCAGATAAATATGGAAGGTTGACAATGCCTCTGAAAACTGTCTAAGGCAACAGTCTTGAGCCATTTTTTCAAGTTAAATATGTTTGTAAATGAGGAAAATGAAAAAATTTAAAGATATTCATACAGAAAATTTCAAATGAAAGAATTACTAACCATTACTAAATTTCCATTAGTCATTCATTTTTCAACCCTTTTATTCAATGCTTTTGTTTGCAATGTAAAATCTACTTGGCCAAAACCTAGGGCCTGCCATTTTGACTCCTGCAAGGGCCAAGCGGGGATACTTCCTGAAGAGCAGCCAGACTGCCGGGACCTCTCCAGCACCAAGTCCGCCAGGCAGAGTGCGACATCGTCAAGGCACAAGCCAGCAGTCTGCCCCTTTCCAGCCTCAGCACAGCTCTACCCAACAGAATGAGCTGTGCATCTAAAAGCGGAACACGTTTAGAGTCATCTTAGAAAGCTCAGATTTCATTTGCTGATTCATACCGTTATGAGAAAAAGAAAAGGGTGGAGTGTTATATCTAATTGCCCCTGATAAAGGTGTTTTATCTCAAAAATTCATTTTTAAAATTTACTTTTGGTCTTCCATATGTCATCCCACTTCAAGCTTTTTTGTTCTAGTAGCTTTTATATATATTAACTTTTCTTGTGGTTTTGGTACCTTTACAACTTATTTAAAATAAATTCACATCACATTTTATATAATAACTCTGTAAACTATTAGTCTATTTTTAAGTCTTTACATAAAGAACAGTACTTTCCCATAGCTAATAATATTTTCCTATAAAACAAAGGTCTTCTGCAGCAGTGTTAAAGTAGCGATTTCTTTTCAGGTGATTTGTTTTCTATGCATTTAAGTCAAAGGGAGACCAGAAAAAGCAAACAATTTTGCTTTGGTGTCACAGTCTCCCAAGATCTCTCTAAAGAGCGCTTGTCTCTGATTCTGCACCACCGGTGACCCCGACAGACCCCAGGTTGGAAGGAGCCACAGAGACAGAGAACAAAGGAGAAGCCCGGCCCAGACACTGGCTCGCTCCAGCGGATGCGGGGCCTTCCCTCACGAGATGAGGAAGGACAGCTCCTGGTCCTGGGGCGGTGCGCACCATGCAGGGCTGCTGCTGACTTCCCAGGGGAGACCACTGAGTCATACCTTCCTGGCGAGCTGCTTCCGTTGACTAGAGGGGATGGGAATCTTTGTGTTTTGGCTTCTCCTCAGACTAGCTAGTAGAATTTCAAATTTCCTACAGAGAATGACAGAGGACCTGATACAGTAAACCACAATCTTAACGAACTTCAGACAGCGGCATTCCCAAAGATCATACTTCTTAGCAGAAAACAAAATCTGCATTCCCCATGAATCCCCCAAAAGGCATCACATGTAGGGCCTCCAGGAAGACTACTATTTTCTAGATCTTTAAACATAAAGAACTTTGCACTTGTTTAATAAACAGAAATACTGAAGGGCCACATCACTGATATCATTCATATTTTTGAGTAGCTCCAGTCCATCAGGGGTCATGGCTTCTCCCAGCTGTCTCCTTCCATCCAGAGTCCTTGCTCTTAGTGGATACATACTAGAAATGCCGGGCAGCGTTAGCTTGCCTATAAGTAGTTAATACTGGTTTTGATATGCTGTGCTTTTCCCACGACTATAAGCTGAGCTGAGGGGAGAACATACGCAGACAGCAGAGTTGACGAGCTGTGTGTGGAAATCCATTCTGTCTCTAGCACGCGAGTCCTGCGTTGGGTGCGACGTGCAGCTGGGAAGGCATGGCTGCTACTCCTGGTGCTGAGGTCCTTCACCCCGACTGCAAGCAGTGGTATTTGCTTTTGTAACACTCTCACTGTGCATCATATCGCCTCCTCTCTGGAATTACTGTTTGTGAAGAGCCTGCTTTGCGAGTGGCCGCAGCAGTCTGTAACGGAGCTGGTCTTTACCACAGGCTCCTGGACTTTGGCACTCGGACATGGTGAGCAGGAGGGTTCTGTCGGGAGCAGGTGCGGTCCTATACACTGTGGTTTGTTCAGCAGCATCCCTGCCTCGACAGCCTCCTAAGCTGTGAAGCCAAAACTGCCTCCAGGCCTTGCAGGCTGGAGAGAAGCAGCCGCCCCCTGAGAGCCGCTGCTACACTATTTCTGAGCAGCCTCGCATTCTGTGATCCCCAGACAAGGGTTTCTCTCATGACACTAGCTTCATGGAAACTCCAGGTTAAACTCTCAGTTCCTAAGAAATGTTACCCTGCGGGGAATCAGGAGCTAGAAACAGTGAGATGTAATCCACATTATGTTGATTATTTCTCCTTTCTCTTAATTTTGGGACTTTCTCTTTCAGGTAAAGATCACACTTTAAAATACACTAAACAACACGTACTTCTGCTGCTCTTTATTCTCGATTGGCAAATGTGGACGCTTCTACTGCGCACACATTAATTAAAGCACCCTCCTCTGTCCTTTAATTTGGATTTGCTCATTGACTTTCATATCTGTTTTAAAATAAAATAGTATCTTATTCTTTTTAAAAACAAAAAGATATCCCACAAGGTTTATAAATCCCAGTAACATGGATCTTCTATAGTGTATTTGCTTATTGTACTGGTTAAGATTAACAAATAAACTTAGCTCTTAGAGATTCATATTTTCTATCATGATTCCTACTGAGCGAGAAGCTTGGTATATAGAGGTTAGGATCTAAAGAATACAGATATGAGGAGGAACCTGTATTCTTTAAGTTGAGTACCCACCCTAGACTCAAGTTTAGGGCTCAAACCCCAAATGAGGATCTATTTTAAGTACTATCATTAAAAACTACAAGTAGATATCATTTTCTTCTCCTTGTTTTCCGTGTCTCTCCATCACCACCGATTCGCCAGTAGCACAGAGAAAAACCCTCCAACCTTTACGTGTTCCAAATGATTTGTTTGTACTAGAAAGAGTGACCATGTACTAAAGTGCTTTATATGTCTGAACCACATCAGTACACTATAAAAATTTTTTAAAAAGTTTCAAGTTCTTGTAAGGGAAAAACGATTAAATATAAAAAAATTAGGTTACTGTTATTAAACAAATTTAACCAAGAATCAAGAGAAACATTTTCCCTCTTGTCTTTTTCCTCCCCATCTCTCTTTGTTGTAAGAAGAAAGTGCCGTCAGAGAGAAGGTGCAGGCCCGATGGGGGCCGGGGCGGGAGGGGCTGCTAGTGGCAGTGCACGAACATGTGCCTCAGCAGCTCCTCCGCCGACGGCCTCAGCTTGGCCTCCGTGAAGATGCGCTGGAGGAAGTCTCGCGTGTAGTCTGAGACGTGAGGGGGCAGCGTGGGGTTTGTTGGCTGAGTGGCGATTTTAAAGATGGCAGCCATAGCTTCATATTCCGCCCACGGAGGCTTCTCAGTTAGCATTTCTACCACAGTGCAGCCAACACTCCTGAAGAGGAATTTAAAAATTACATTACACAAACAATAGCATCACAAAGAAAGTTACTACAGAATGAGAAACAGGAGTGAATATACATTAAATGTGACTGATTTCAAGTTTAATTTCATTAAAAGGTTGCAGCTATATGTAACATCCTATATAACTGAGGTAATATGCAAGTTGACCGTCACTGCAACATACAAGACGGCCCCCCCCAATGTGGACACAAGGTGCCTGCCACAAGATGGATAGCAGGGGAGGGAAGCTGAGGGGAACCAGGTCTGCAGACGAGGGCAGTTGTGGATGAACAGGCCAGTAGGGAAGGGCAGTTGGGGGAAACCAGGCCAGCAGGGGAGGACAGCTAGGGGCCACCAGGCCTTCAGGGGAGGGCCGTTAGGGGCAACCAGGCTTGCAGGGAAGGGCAGTTAGGAGTGACCAGGCCTACAGGGGAGGGCATTTGGGAGTGAGCAGGCTGGCAGGGGAGGGCAATTAGGTGCAACTAGGCTGGCAAGGGAGGGGTATGGGATGACTGGGCCAGCAGGGGAGGGCAGTTGGGAGGGACCCAGGCCTGCAGGAGAGGACAGTTAAGGCTGACCAGGTTAGCAGGAGAGGGCAGTTAGGGGTGACCAGGCTGGCAGGGGAGGGCAGTTAGGGGCAGGCAGGCAGGCATGGGGTTGGGAGCCAGTAGTCCTGGATTGTGAGAGGGACCAGATCGGATCATGCCTGAACAGGCAATCAGACATCCAATCCCAGATTGGAGAGGGTGCAGGCTGAGCTGAGGGGTACACTCCTCCCCACCCACCCCCTGGGCTATGCACAAATTTTGTGCACCGGGCCTCTAGTAGTTTAAAGATAAAAATCAATGTAAATAAACCACAATTTATGGTTAAGCACAAAGAATTACTTTAAGACTACCTGAATTCTAAGAGACTAACAGTAAAAATTAATTACTTCTAAAGTTCTTTTCATTTCAGAGAAATGAAAAGCAGTTTTCTAGTGCTGAAGTTGCTTAAAATAAAACCCTGAATGAAGAATGGAAGACATGCCCAAGAGCTCTCTGTATTTAGTCAATGATTAAGCTTCAATAAGGCAAAGTAAAATATTCACCCTGTAACCCTGACATCCTGTTTCAAAGTGCGAAAGAGCCCTGAAACCCGGCGCAGACAGACACTTCCAGCCCATGGAGCAGTTGGCGCAGCCCCTCAGCAGACCTACCAGATGTCCGCCTTCCGGCCGTAGCCTTCCCCGCTGATCACCTCGGGGCTCATCCAGTAGGGCGTGCCCGTCACAGACTTCATTCCTGTCCCCGAAAGGCAGATTGTTTGAAGCCGTTTGCTGGCCCCAAAGTCTCCTAGCTTAACGTTGCCTGTTGAATCTCGCAGAATATTTGCGCCTAAAAATACGAAACATCCTTATTTCATTCTTTCTATTGGCAGTTTGGAATGTGTAAAAGGACAACAGCAGAGAATTAAATGCAGCAGACTCTTCAATCTGTCTCCAAACTGCCGCTGGCACTGCCAGGCACGGGCAGTGCCCAGAAGGGTTCACTCACACACTGAAGATTTAGCACAGGGTGTGCGTGGAGGCCAAAAGGGTCTCCCGCCGGAAAGGCGGGTGCGGGGAGGGAGCGGCCGCGAAGGGAGAAGGGCGAGGCAGGGGGCAGCACAGCAGGCTCTGGGCCAGTGTCTCTGTCCTAAAGCAAGAGGATGCGGCTAAAGCTCATTTCTCTGAGGAGGAATGCCCATGCTCAAAACTTCCAGCACTTTCCTCTCCTGCTATAACTTATTATTAGTTATCTTATATAATTTCTCTAAATATTGGGTTTTGCTTTATATTAATGCTACTTCTCAATTTCTACATGCTAAACCTCTCTAAGCAAGCTTCTAGCTTTCTGTTTTAAGATTTCGTTTACTTTTTTTTTTATAATATATTTTATTGGTTTTTTTACAGAGAAGAAGGAAGAGGGAGAGCTAGAAACATCGATGAGAGAAAAACATCAACCAGCTGCCTCTTGTACGCCCCCTACCGGGGATATCCCCGCAGCCAAGTATATGCCCTCGACCGGAATCGAACCCGGGACCCTTCAGTCGGCAGGCTGACGCTCTATCCACTGAGCTAAACTGGTTTTGGCTCATTTACTTTTATAATAAACAACTTATAAACTGGCTTGAGGTTGTGGAATTCTCTGCGGTGAAGTGCCCCTTTCCTCGCCACGCTGTCCCTGCAGGTCGTGCACAGCCCATGAAGGAATAGCTGCAGGCGAGCGGAGATGGGAATTACTGGGAATCATTCTGCACAGGAGCTTGTCTCCTCTCCCCCACTGGCTTCCTCGCCCACTTGTTCGTATCAGTATAAACACAAGGATATTTCTTTTACTTTGGGTTACAAACTAATGTGACTTTTTCATTGCTCAATTGTTCCAGCCTTGGCCAGGGGGAACTCTTCCTACTGGCTCCAGTGTCCTTTTGTCAGGACCCATCATTGCGTTCCTATTTTTGGTCTGGGGTTGGTTTTTTAGTATCTTCTTACTTTTGCTCAAGTCCTAGAATCAGCCCTCTCTCCAAAGAGCCCTAGTTACTTTCATTTTTTAAAACATATTTTTATTGATCTCAGAGAGAAAGAGGGAGAAAGAGACAGAAACATCAATGATGAGAAAATCATCAATTAGATGCCTCCTGCACACCCCATACACTGGGGATCGAGCTCACAACCTGGGCATGTACCTGACCAGGAATCAAACCGACTTCCTGGTTCATAGGTTGATGCTCAACCATTGAGCCACACAGGCTGGGCCCTAGTTACTTCTAATGTTATCAGAAACCAAGACCAGGGGCTAGGTTCATTTATTTTTTTATTCTCTCTTTCCCCCTTTATTTATCATTTTAAAACTCAATCTTTTCTTCTGGAATTGCAAGTCTTGTTTCTGTCTTATGTAAATTATTTCTATTCTCATTTTTATCTTTTCCTATAAACTACCAGTTTTTAAATAAGCAATTTATTTTAACTAAAATTGAAACTTCGTTATTTTAAAACATATTTTAAATGAGAGGAAAGAAGAGGGAGAAACATTGATGTGAGAGCAGAACACGGATTGGCTCCTCCTGCTTGCCCCTGGAACCTGCAACCCTGGCATGTGCCCTGACCAGGAAGTGAACCGGCAGCCCTTTGGTGCACTGGACCACAGCCAGCCAGCCGCAGTGGCCAGGGTGGCTTGTTATTTTAAGCCTCCTGTAACCATAACCACATATTGTTTTTAAGTGGGGGGAAATGATAAAAGATCTTTTAAATAGTTTCTTTTTACTGATTTGAGAGAGAGGAGAGAGGGAGAAACATCAATCAGTTGCCTCCTGTACACACCCCAACTGGTGAACAAACCCACAACCGGGTGTGTGCCCCAACTGGGAATCAAACTGGCAATCTTTTGGTGCATGGGACAACCAATGCTCATTGAACTGAACCACACTGGCCAAGGCTTAACTATCTATCTCTCTATATAAAAGCCTAAGCGATCAGAAGACCAGCCGGTAGCTATGACACGCACTGACCACCAGGGGGCAGATGCTCACCACAGGAGCTGCTACCTGGTGGTCAGTGTGCTCCCACAGCAGGGGCACCACTCAGCTGACAGACGGGCACCAGATGCCAGACTCACACGACTGGTGAGTGCAGCTGTGGCCGTGAGCCTCTCCTGCGGACACTCCCCCTGTATGGCTGAGCGGCAGTGGCCCAGGTACAGCAGGGCCAGGATGAGCAGGAGTGGTGGTGCCCAGCCCGGGCTCGGGCTCCTCCCCGGCCCCCTGCTGCTTTCCACACTACTTTGTGCTGTGCAGGACCTACATGGACAGCAGGCTGGAGCCCAGTGAGCTGGCAGGGAAGGCTGGGCTGCAGCAGTGTGGAGGCCCGCTGATCCCCGCAGATCAGGCCAAGGGACCCCACCAGTGCACCAATCCGTGCACCAGGCCTCTAGTATTTTATATTCTCAAAAGTCCTTTTCTTTAATGGCCTCTAAGGAGTGAGTAGTGGAGAAAAGCTACACTATAGACGGCAGAGAATGCATACTGTCCATCCCCACTGTGAGCTTCCGTCCTTGTCTCTGTCCCCCCAGAAACCCCAGCCTGGCGGGGTGGCCCTCCCAGCTCTGCCGGACTGGACGCCCTCCCAGCGGACCGCAGATCTGAGGGAGGCACCCGCTGTCCTGCGCAACAGCAGCGACCCCGTTCATCAGGCAAAGAGGACTCTGTGAAAAAAGCCACTGTCTCTAAAACATTTACCCAGGAAAGGACACACACAAGCCAGATTTTACTGGCTACAAGCAGGGAAGGAACAGTCCCAGGCAGATCACAGAAAGGCAGAGCTAACTCTGGGAGTAATCACCATGCTGAATCACTGCCTATCCATACGAGGGGCTGAGTGAAAAACTGTTCCCAATAAAGACTCCTAAGTTTCCAAACTTATTTTGGATACCTTAAAAGAAAACTATGAAGGAGATTTTTCAAACATATACAAAAGCAGATAGAATATGTGTATATATACATATCCATGCCCCAGCCCCACTGTGCTGCCAGCCTCTCCCTCTCCCCCTCTCATATCATTTGAAACAAATGCAGACTTCAGGATCAATAGTTCATTAGTTTTATAAGATAATGGCTCTTATTACACTGAACAGGATGGACAACAACTCCTTAATAATGTTAAATATATGCTCAGTGGTTTTTACATTAAAAAAAAAAAATCAGAACCCAAAACAGGCCCATACATTGAGACTCAATGACTCATATTTTAAGCCTTTCCTGATCTAAAGGTCCCTGTGATCTTTTCCATGCACTTTAGGAGGAACCTGCGTTGTCTGCCCGTAGCTTTTCTAGTGTCTAGGTCTATTGACTCCGTCCCAAGGCATCCTATTGGCCATGTCCGTCCGCTGATATGTATGTTCTACAATTCTAAAATTTGGTAGCTGAATCTAAAGGCTTGATCAAATTCAGATGATGATGATGATGATGATGATGATTATTATTATTATTTGCCAAACTACTTCATAGATATGATGATGTAATCTAAAGATAGGAAGTATGTTATGCTCAACTGTCTATGTCTTAGATGTCACACCTGTTAATGTTTAATGCTTACACCTATGAATTCATCAGTGGTTGTAAAATGGCACCATTCCATAATTCCTTCATTTGTTAGTCAAAATATTGCTATAAAGACAAGATTTAACCACTATGTGGTCCTCAATGGCACAGTCAGTAAAAGAAAAGCGGAATAAAGGGACTGGACCCTGTTATGAAATAATGAGTTGATTCCCTAACAACAATGATCTGTTAGTTTTTATCCTAGGGTTCACTATGAACTCAAAGGCTTAAGTTTAAAAGTCATCAACTATCTTTCTTTTTCCCTAACAATTTAAAAATTTCTCATCATAAAATTTGGGAAACAAAGAAAAAGTAAAAACTGTGAAGAAAACCATTATCACTCATCTTGCCATTTGGAAGTGACCACTGTTAACCATATGAACATTTTTCTTCCAGGCCATACTTTCATTTTACAAACATTGCATCTCTAACTTACACTTCATGTTCCTCCTCTCCATGTGTTTGCCCTATCATCATCACTTAAATCAGCTTGCTTCCTGCTTCATCTGACTAGTGTGGTTCCTCACTCCTGGCAAGCCCATCTGGGGTAGCTCATGAGTGCTAAAGAGAAATGGACTTGAATAGAGATCATTCCTAAAAGAATAATCCCCAGTGTGGTCCTTTAAGCTGTCAGGGGCCTTGACACCTGAGGCCTGCCTAAGCGGGCAGATCTTAAAATGAAAGCAAGCTCTTATCTCTTCCGGTTATGAGCCACTTCCTTCTCTCATACGCTTCCTTCCGGTGCGATGATCTGGCTCAGCTTTCTGTAGCAGAGTCCACTCTATCACTAGACACTGGACATCAGAACTGCGGCAATATGACTTAGTCCTACAGTATTTTAAAGGCAGATGTATTGATCCAGATGCTGAATTTCTTAAGCATATTACTCTTTTTATTCACACACACAAAAATCGTGTATTTCAAATGAAAAGACCTCATTTCTTACCTTTGATGTCTCTATGAACAATCATATTACTATGCAAATAGTGGATGCCTTCCAGAATCTGACGGGTGTACTTCCTAGTTACATTCTCAGTAAGAGCTCCATATGCTTTTAATTGGTCTTTAATTGAACCCTAAATGAAAACAAAAGAAATGTATGGTATGGTTTGAAACGAACCACTATATTACATCTTTATTTTTTAAAGAATCCTAGCTGAGTGGGAAGCACGGGAACTCTCAGTAAGAGTGCACATGCCATCTCATTTACATACAACTCAATTACATGTTCCCTGACGAGAGCTGTGGAGAGCGGGCGTCACCACTAAGGAAGCCTTTACAGCGGCTCTTGATCCTGTTTGTTATCACTGTCTTGGTTCTAACTATCTCATATTCCTGCAACTGTGTTTCTAACAATTCTCTTGTACTTTTATATCGTTTTGCCCAGAATATATTTTTGCTTTTCCTATTTGTTCTTCTATATAGATCCTACTTAATTATGTATTTCTTTCTTTCTGTTTTTAGAAGCATTTTAATATTATTATTTTATTTAGAAGTATTTTATTGATATTTGCCTATTTATTTCTTAGGAGAAAGAATGGGTATGAATAGAAAATCAGAACACATGAAATTTTAAAGTTTTTCTTTTATATACTCAACATGCTAATTCAAAACATGAGAAAATATATTAAAGAGGAATTTTAAATTTTCCTAAGTGTTTTTAAGGCAGGATGAGGTGCCATCTCTGAGAATGCTCAGTCAGTGTGAGGTGAGACAGACACTTGGAGTTTACAAAAGCTGCCCTACTGATTCCAATGTGCAAATCCAATGAATAACGAACACTTCAAAAGATGGAAAGAAAATGCTTCCTGAGGGACAGATCTTCTCTTTTAAGATTTATTAGTGCCCACAGCACTAACGATCCACTGGTGCAGCTCTTTTACCTTTGTGTACCTTCTTCAGTAGGAACAATTGGAATGGGTTGCGAAGCACTGTGCCAGCTAAAAATTGCATGTATGTATGTAAAATTAACAGATAAAAATGACTGCTAGTTCGGTACTGACAATAAAGGAAGTTATAGTTCTAGTCTGAAAGTAATTCTAGATACAGTAAGGAATGGGGTGCCGTGCTTGAAAAAACGGAAGAGATGACAATGTTGGCAAATCTTGAACCCAGCATACTTAATTTACTGAAAGAAATTATACAGCATCATTCACAAACATGGAGATTCAGGAAAGTCTAGGAAAATGGACTGTATGTCCAACCCATTGATCCTTGGGCTTACCATATTTACAATTCATTCAGATAGTCAATTAACTATATCTAATTTGGTAATGAGCTTTTCAAATCCAAGGAATTGAAATATATACTTTGACGATATAGCTACTTTTACAAAACCAAGTGTAGGTAATGAGAAACATGATCTAACACCTCTTCCTGAGGAGTCCGGGTTTACCCAGATTGCTATATAAAGATTATCCATCTCTAAATCATTTTAATCATTGGTTACTCATTTTAATTAATCTTATCTTCAACAATCTGAAACTCTATTCACTGTTATTCATAATTATTTTCTAACTTAATTTAAATATTTATTACACAAACAGTAATGAAAATAAAGAAAAAAGATAAATCACAATCCCAACATAACATTTTTCATTTTTCTAAGTTTCTCTGTCCTTGTCCAAATACTGATACTTTTAAAATATCATAATCATTATTTAAAAGCACTTTATATTCTTTCTTTCTTTCTTATGAAGTACTTCCTTCAACTTTGCCACAATTTTAATTTTTAACATTATTCTCTTGGACAATGCCATCATAATTTACTTCCACCATGGGCAATGAATTTCCATTTTTTCCACCACAGTTAATACTATATAATAAAATAAATATATGCAGCTTCTTCCTTCTTTTGGATTAGTTCTTTAGAATAAATTTCTGTGAAATTAACAGGTCAAAAGGCTTCAACATTTTTATGGCCTTTAATACATCCCACCAATTTGTTTTCCAAATGGGTTTTTTAAAAACTAATTTACATTGCCAACAGAATATCTGAAAATTAAAAGTAGCAATAATGAATAAAAGCAGAATCACTAAAAACAACCTATAATGCACAACAGAAACAAAGTAAGGTTTGCTATTGTCCTTGTGAGACTGAGGATGGTGAGGACCATTACTATCAGATGCTGGTCCTTTTTATGACCATAACCTTACCCTGCAACCTTGTACATTCTACATATAATTCTAACAAACGATTCCCTTCAAGACCCATACACCAATCATTTTTTCTATCACATACAACTTATTAAATTACAATAATGCATGTATTTTTTAAATATAGATATATTTTTAATTCAGAAAGGAAGGGAGAGGGAGGGAGATAGAAACACCAATGAAGAGAATCATTGATTGGCTACCTCCTGCATGTCCTCTACTGGGGATTGAGTCCCCAACCCAGGCATGTGCCCTGGCCAGGAATCAACAATGACCTGCTAGTGCCCACAGCTCAACCAATCACTGGGCGACACTGGCCAGATTGCATGTATTTTTAAATGCATAAGCATACCACCATTTTAAAAATCATTAGTATTAGAATGTATACTACTAGTACATATTATAAAAATAACAGAGGGATGACAGAGTTTTGAAATCACATTTTGCAGCTCCTAATGAAGTTATTTACTGAGACTATTAATATCAAATTGTGTTATAAACATTAGGTGATAGCTGAAAAAGAATTGTGTGTCACTGCTCTAGTCATTACTTTCTGGTCTTCAGGGGAAAAACAAAGCTTGACAATGGAAGAATTAGGTTATCAAGCACCCTAATCAAGTCATTAATCTTAGCATCAATAATGATGAAACAACCAAAAACTCTATCTCCTAATGGGATGCAACATAAAGTACACAGCACGATTTATGGCCCATTCTAATAAAAAAAATGTTAAATTTGAATCTAACTTAGACTTTAAAAAATTAAAAAAATATATATATTTTATTGATTTTTTTTAGAGAGAGAAAGAAAGAGGGATAGAGAGTTAGAGACATCGATGAGAGGGAAACATCCATCAACTGCCTCTTGCACACCCCCTTCTGGGGATGTGCCCGCAACCAAGGTACATGCCCTTGACCGGAATCGAACCCGGGACCTTTCAGTCCGCAGGCGGACGCTCTATCCACTGAGCCAAACCGGTTTTGGCTAACTTAAACTTTAGATCTAACCTGGAGTTTATAGAAAATAAGGGGATTAAAGGAACAAATTATACAATGCCATATGAGATGAGACTGTCAACAGAACAATAGCCTGTCAAATCTGTCACATAAAAACTGCTCTAGAGTAAAAGATGAGTGCCCGGCTGGCGTGGCTCAGTGGTTGAAGGTTGACCTATAAACCAGGAGGTCTCGGTTTGATTCCTGGTCAGGGCACTTGCCCGGGTCGCAGGCTTGATCCCACTATGGGGTGTGCAGGAGGCAGCCAATCAATGATTCTCATTATTGATGTTTCTCTCTCTCTCTCTCTCTCCCTCTTCCTTCCTCTCTGAAATCATTAATAACGTATTAAAAATAAGAGAGAAGTAAGGCATATAGCAGCTATATGTACTGTGTGGTCTTGAACTGGATGGATCCTGGTTTGGACAAACCAGCTATTATGAATATTTTTAAGGCTCTTAGAGAAATCTCAGTATGAACTATGATGCATGAAAGCCACTTTAATATATATCAGAATTTTTAAAAATGAGTTAAAAATAAAAAGATAGATGAAGATAGAAAATAAAATTGGAGAGCATTATGCTAAGTGAAATAAGCCAGTTGGAGAAAAATAAATACCACATGATCTCACTCATTTGTGGAATATAATGAACAACATAAACTGATGAACAAAACAGTCATAGAAGCATCAAACAGACTGTCAAACCTCAGAGGGAAGGCAGGGGTGATGGTGGGGGTAAGAGATCAACCAAAGGATGTATATGCATGCATGTGAGCATGACCAATGGGCACAGACAGTAGGGAGGTTCGGGCATGTGCTGGGGGGTGGGAGCGGCTGGGGAGAGGTCAATGGAGGAAAAAGGAGACATATGTAATACTTTAAACATATGTCTAATACTTTAAACAGTGGTCAGCAAACTCAGTCAACAGAGCCAAATATCAACAGTACATCAATTGAAATTTTTGAGTCAAATTTTTAAAATTTAAACTTCTTCTAACGCCACTTCTTAAAAATAGACTCATTCAGGCCGTGGTATTTTGTGGAAGAGCCACACTCAAGGGGCCAAAGAGATGCACGTGGCTCGTGAGCCGGTTTGCCGACCACGGCTTTAAGCAATAAAGAATTTAATTTTAAAAAAATAAAGAAAAGAAAATTATATTACTAATTTAAAACTCTTCCAAAATTTCATTAACTAGGTATAACATTTTATAAATCAAAGTTTTATTATTTTTCTTTCCTCAACTAAATCTTTAAATAAAATATCTATTATTTCATATGTTTTTATTGATATCAGAGAGAGGAAGAGAGAGGGAGAGATAAAACATCAATGATGAGAGAGAACCATTGATCAGCTGCCTCCTACATGCCCCCAACTGGGGATCAAGCCCACAACCCGGCACATGCCCTGACCAGGAATCCAACCATGACGTCCTGGTTCTGGCTCAACCACTGAGCCATGCTGGCCAAAAGCATGTTACTTTCCAAGGATATGCTAACTTACCCCTGGCATATATTCCATAAATATGGAAAGCTTTTTTTCCTGGAGATCCCGCAAACAGCCATAATATTGAACGATTCGTTCATGCAGTAAATTTTTCAACAACTGAATTTCACACTCAAGTGCATTTACTTCCTGAAAGACAGAACTCACTGTTAAATCTTTACAGCTTTGTTAGTAAAAGTAAAAAATTAGAATTTCATTGATCATCAAGGTGATTTAATTCTGAAATTTTTACTTTCTAAGGAATAAATATTTTTAAGTCTGTAAATAATAACTGTTATAACAGTCCTTGAAGGTATGCTAAAGCAACACTAAATCAGAATGTAACTGAGCATTAAAGGGGAAAAATTCACAGAACAATGTATATAAACATATCTAATAATTGATTTATTTTGCAAATAATTTGTGTTAGGAAAAAATAAACATTTTATCATGTGTTACATTTATTTTATTAAAAACACTTGTTTTCTGTGTGTGACTGCAGCGATTCTTACCTTGCTGGTCTCAGGTCTATCAGGGTCAAACTGAACTTGCTTAACAGCCAACTCTCTTCCTGTATCGACATCATAACAGAGGTAGACCCTGCCAAAGGCTCCCTGGCCAAGCAGTTTGCCCAATCTCCAGTTTATTGGAGCACGAGGTGCTAAAAAAGAATACTTTCTTAAAATGGAATATCTAGATTGCATAAAAATGATTAAGAACTAAATGAGCATGTTGCATTTAGTAACATTCTTAATTGAATATGCCTGGGTATGAGGGAAAATCATGGTCATCTAAGTTCATAATGGTCATCATGTTTTGGGTGTTTTAAACATTTATTGATTTTTAGAGAGAGAGGATGGGAGAGAGAGAGAAATGTCGATTGGCCACCTCCTGCACGGCCCTACCTGGGCATGTGTCTTGACGGGGAATTGAATCAACAACCTTTCAGTGCCCAGAACAACGCTCAACCAACTGAGCCACACAGCCAGTGCATGATCACCATCTCTGAAAAATTGCCTCTCAAGTCAATTTTCTAAGAATTCTAAACCCAAACAAGGTTCGTCATCCCATACTCATTTTTTTCAATGCAATGAGATTGTTTTCTTTCTTGGTTATAAATGTAACAGTATCTTTCACTCAATCTAAGATGCCACTGCTTATAAGATAGACTATCATATTTGCTGAAGCAATCGTCAGTTTTCCTTCTGCCTATGATGTAGGAAGCTGGAAAAAGCACCACTCTAATTCTAACAAAAGAAAATCTTGAAAACAGCCAGAGGGCAAAAAGCAAACTCCAGGCAAAGGAACAAAGACAAAAACTACAGAACACTTCTCAGAAAGTATTAAAGCTAAAAAAAACCATGGAGAAATATCTTTAAAGTGCTGAAAGGAAAAAAACAAAACTACGCAGAATTCTACACCCAGAAAATAAAATCTTCCAAAAAAGGAGAAACAAAAACCTTTTTCAAAAATACCAAACTTGAAATAACTTATTACCAGCAGATTTGTATCAGAAGAAAGGTCAAAGTAATTATTAAAGCAGAAGAAATTTAATGCCTGATAGAATCTTGGATCTACAACAAGATCTACAGCAATAAACCGAAGGTATATATAAAAGGCTTTTTTTTTTTTCCTCTTATTTTTTAATCCTTTAAAAGACAGCTGTCACCAAAACCGGTTTGGCTCAGTGGATAGAGCGTCGGCCTGTGGACTGAAGGGTCCCAGGTTTGATTCTGGTCAAGGGCATGTACTATGGTTGTGGGCACATCCCCACTGGGGAGTGTGCAGGAGGAGGCTGATCGATGTTCCTCTCTCATCGATGTTGCTAGCTCTCTATCCCTCTCCCTTCCTCTCTGTAAAAACATTTAAATAAAAAATAATAAAATTTAAAAAAGGACAGCTGTCTAAGGCAAATGTAGTGCGAGGGCATAGATGTAAAGTTAAATATGACAATGCTGGCACAGAAGGGAGGGATTCAGAGAATGCAAATATTGCTGCAGTCGTTGCGCATGCATCTTTGTATGCATCGATCACTTGATAAAGCTCCAATACTTCATACTCTGACTGAGTTACCATTCTAGTCCTATTTCTTCTCTTCCAAGTAAGATATCCTCCCCTTCAGCCAAAAGTAAACTATTCCCCACCTTGAGAATATGCCATGGCCTCTACACATGTCACCTCCTTACTGGTGAATTCTTACTCACTTGTAAGATCTAGACTGAATGTTACACTATAATGACTGCTCCAGATATCACTCTCCCAGTTAGATTGTATCTTAGAGGGTGTATTTTAAACCTCAGTGCAGAAACTCAACACAGAAATGTGAAATGAATGAACGGATGACTAATTGATGACACTTCCCCAATGAAAGAGGACAGAATCATCTATAGTAATTCAGCATCAATAGCATGCTTATACCTGCCATTCCAATCACCTTTAGAAATGCAACTTTGTTGAGAAGTTGGTCTCTCTCTTGAGGACTGGCTTGATATCTGTTTCTTTTCAATACTATTCATATACAATTCTGCACAGATTCTAGTATACAGTTCACAATGCCAATGGCTCTTACTTACAGCGGCTAGGTGGGCTGATGTCCATTACGGTCAAAGTAGGATTATCTATGTCACTTCCCCTTCTTCTTATTCGACTATCATCATACTCTGGGGTAAAGATACTGCTTCCACTACTGGTGCTTAAGGAGCGGTCAGTAGGACTGAAACTCACAGGAGACCGGAAGCTGGTCCCCTGGGTCCTTCTAGCTCTTGGAAAAGTTTTACGACCTACAAAACAAAAATAGAATCACCTTAAAACTTTTATTAATATGTTGCAATTGAATGTTCTTAAAATTTGTAATGTAAGGAACAGAAATCTGTCCATGACTAGGCTAAGAAACTGAAACAGCAATGATTACTTAATTATGTTTTAAACCTAAAATTAGAGTTTTCTATAGAGTTCAAGGAAAAATCCTTGTTAACGATACATCATAAAGTCAATAACAAAAATACAAGGAAAAAGGGTGAAAGAAGAAATGAGAAGTAGGAGAAAAACAAACAGAATCTGAATACAAATTCAAATAATCTCTTATGTTAACACATAGATACACACATTCATAAAATCATGGACCGCCTGCTTTGGGATAAAAAATAGAAAAAATATAATTTAGTCTCATTTCTAATCATGATTTAAAATACTTTAAAAAAAAATTGGAAAGTTAAAGATAGCAATATTTTTTTTCCCTTGAAAGGACCATGCAAGAATGAATTTTATGAAGGAGTAACTTTCTGAATAATGTTTTTAATTACTCCTTTCCTTCTAATGGAAAGATAAATACTATGAGGTAAGTTGGCATAAAGGTAAGATGTTATGACCCAATTAAAAAATTTTAGGTAGGGCCGAAACCGGTTTGGCTCAGCGGTAGAGCATCGGTCTGCGGACTGAAAGGTCCCAGGTTCGATTCCGGTCAAGGGCATGTACGTTGGTTGCGGGCACATCCCCAGTAGGGGGTGTGCAAGAGGCAGCTGGTCGATGTTTCTCTCTCATCGACGTTTCTAGCTCTCTCTCTCTCTCCCTTCCTCTCTGTAAAATCAATAAAATATATTAAAAAAAAAATTTTAGGTAGGAAACTAAATGATTGAGAAACAAGTTTATTTCAAATAGTATTACTTAAATATGAATTTTTAAAATTATTTTTGAGAATTTTCACAAACTGTTCTTGTGGTCTGAATGTCAGCAACTTACCATCATTATAGTCTTGATGGTGATATGAAACATGATACCTCCTTGGGTAGGTTCCCCCTTTTCCAAATTTCTCAAAGATAGGGTTGTCATAGTCTATTAAGACACATAAGAAACTTATGTTATTAAAAAAGCCAAGTACTTCTTTCAAATAATGAAAAACATATTTATAAGTTTATTTAATTTTTAAAACAATTCCCCTCACCCTTCCCACTAAACCATTATTTAATAGCATAAACATTAAACATTTAGAATGTGGATAATCTAACCTGAAAATTCTTGATGATTATCTGGGTAGCTCTGTGCCCTAGGCATTCGTAATTTTGGATAGCTGTCTCTAAAAGTAGAAAATGTCATATTAAATTGAGAGAATGTAAATAAAACATTAAAAAAACTGTATATGCAAAGTCAATATCTGTATCTACGTGTGCAGACCATATATACACACAAAGGAGCTCATTCTGAAATGTTAACATAACTCAAAAAATAGGAACTTCTCCTTAAACTCTTGTTTGGTACACGCAGACACGAAGTGTGGCTTCAAAGTGAACCCACGGAGTTCAGTGGTCAGATGATGTGCTCAGGAGTCACATGCTCGGGAATGCCTGTTTGATCCTAGCTGTCACTTCACTAGCTCTGTAACCTTGAAAGCACCTTTCTGAGACTGTTTCCATATCTATAAAAGGGAGGCAATTTCTGACTCATCAAGTACATATATTTTACATTACTATTTCCCTGAATTCTCTAAATGTTTTAAATGACTGTCCTGATGTAGATGCAGGCAAAGACAAAGGCTTTGTGTACACAGGTAGCAGAAAATTAAATGTCTATTCCCTTACAATATTAGTTATATTTGTACAATTTGGTTTTACAAAGCAATCCCAGAGGAGATTAAATAGAAAAATATTTTAATAAAGACATTGACTCTATGTACTAATTGAGACCAGGAGAGAGGGAGCATTTGTAACAAAAAATTCACTTGATCCGCCTTATATTCTTGAATAGCAGTTTCACAAAACAATAGTGTTTCAATTTTAAATCACAACCAACATTCTGGGCCACAACTACTAAGACTGTTAAGTTATTTATAATTTGCCGAAACCAGTTTGGCTTAGCGGTAGAGTGTCGGTCTGCGGACTGAAAGGTCCCAGGTTCAATTCCGGTCAAGGGCATGTATGATGGTTGCGGGCACATCCCCGGTGCGGGGTGTGCAAGAGGCAGCTGGTCGATGTTTCTCTCTCATCGATGTTTCTAGCTCTCTATCTCTCTCCCTTCCTCTCTGTTAAAAAAAAAAAAAAAAAAAAAAAAAAAAAAAAGGTTGTTTATAATTTGGTGCCAGAACAATAATTCTGAACAGGGAAAACAACTCACAAAATCTCCAAAACAATAAAAAATGATAGCAGTTTTGCCAACAAAGTTTTAAAATTAAACATACATAAATTCTAAGTTTGCATTTAACTTCAAAACACTATTTTGGCAAGCAGGAATATTCAAAATATTATAATAAGGTGTCAGTTTTAATTAATAATGATGCGGAGTCCCATGAGGTTAAGGGATTTGTTAACACTATACAAAAATTAATTTGCCATAAGTATGTATAAATAGTATCAATTATATTCCTCTGAATGTAGCACAAAAGCATGGATAACTCAACATACTGTATATGTATATGTGTATCTATGCATATTTACTCACATATGTTAAAAAACAAAAAATATAATCAACATTACCCATCCAAAGGACTATCAAGTGATGGACAACTTCCTGAGCCAGAATTTTCAGGGCTGCTTAAAAATAATGGGTCCAGCATCTAGAAAAATATAGAGTTTCACCATTTGATGTGATGTAACCAGAAGTTACTGTTTTTTAAGAAATAGTTTTATTGAGATATAGATCATACAACATAAAATTCACTCATTTCAAGTGTACGATGATTTAATGGTTTTTAGCAAGTATATTGGGATCTGTGTGACCTCATGACAATCTCAGAACAGGGTCAGTACCTAAAAGAGAAACCCCAGACCCAACAGCAGTCACCCTCAGAGCTACTCATTTTTAAGTGTTTAAAATGAATGTGTCACTTACAGGCAGCTACAAATGCAAAATAGCCTGAGAGAAAAAGGTTGTTTCTCTATGGACTAAATAATGAAAAGCTGAAAGATTTCACATAATGTTTCTCACTGTAAACTGAACAAAGGACCTCCCCTCCCCCCCAAATGAGACTGAAGATGCGACAGCTACGCTACTAGAAAATGAAAACTGCAGTAGAAACAGCAAGTACGTTACGGAAACGAAGGAACTCCGTGGAAATTTCCAATACTGCAAAACTTTTCATAACATTTTCCTGATTTGTTCATTAGATTCCACAAAAATATCGAGCACCCATGAGTTCGGTTTTTTCCCTAGAGCAGGGGACATGATCATCTTCTCTGTCTGCATCACTTATCGGCACATACTGCCGGAGTGAGCACTCAGTAACTTTTTTTTCATGTGCCTTTTTAAACAATATATTTTTATTGATTTCAGAGAATAAGGGAAGGGAGAAAAACATCTTTGATGAGAGAGAATCAGTGACTGGCTGCCTACACACCCCTTTCCAGGGATTGAGAGTGAAACCCAGGCATGTACCATGGGTTCGTAAGCTGATGCTCACTGAGCTACAGCAGCCCGGTAGCATTTAGAACCATTTAAAAATGTTTTAGAATGTTGATAAACCTCACCTTCACAAAGTTAAATGTTTGTTGTTTTGACTATATGTTTCAAATATTAATTTAAAAATCTGAGTATTAACCCCAGGATTACAAATACATGCAGTCATTTATTTATGAATGGGCAATCCACCTTATCCTAACTTCCTTTATGCACAAATGCACACAGGCCCACATAAATTAGTATAGGAAATTGGGCATTTTCCTATACTTTTTACTATTTTGTTCACTTCCTTATATCCCATATAAGGAAGATATGGGATTGAAGAAGAGGTGTAATACACACACACACACACACACACACACACACACACACACACACACACAGACCTAGGCACATCCCTTTAATAAAATGAGAAACCACAGCCAACTCCTGCTTACTTGGTCCATGCTCTCTGGAATGAACTCCCCTTCACTGTGGATGCTGGTGAAGGACCCGTTCCTGGCGACCTGATGTAATTCATCTGGAATGTATCCTGGGGGAGGGGAGCTTTGATCTCTACTAGTGGAACCTCAAAGAAGAAAATTATATGATTTTATAAAGATCAGCATGGAATCAATGTTTGTTTTAATTAAATATACATAGAACTTCTGGACTATATTCCCAATAATGTTAGCAACTGAAACCCAGTTTTTATTAAAGCTTATCAAAACATTCATGTCTGTAAAACTTCAAATATTTTTATGCCTTCCTAACTCCCACCTGCTGTAATTACTGCCTCATGGTCACTCATTCACACTGAGGTGGGGCTTCTCCTGGCTGCGGACAGCGCACCGGGGGCTGGTAATACAAGGAAGCTCTCCTGATGAGCACAGCGCTCTGAGCTCCAGCTCCCGAGGGCAGAGGCCACCGTGCCCGGTGCTCCCTGGCTATGCACGGAAGGCATCTGATGTAGTGGAGAGAACATGGCTTCAGAGTCAGGCCTAGTATAACTCCCAGTTCTAGCTATCTTTCACTCTGTCTGTGGGAAAGTGACCCAATCCCCAGAAACCTGTTTCCTCACTGGTAAACATGGGACTATACCTTCTCTGCAAGAGTACTGTGACTATAAAATTATTTGTAATGAGCATATGCTGTGCACATCTGGCTCCACGATTTTCTTTCCATTCCCTCTCTACTCTTTTTTTTTTTTTTTTAAATATATTTTATTCATTTTTTACAGAGAGGAAAGGAGAGAGAGCTAGAGAGCTAGAAACATCGATGAGAGAGAAAGAACATCGACCAGCTGCCTCTTGCACACCCCCTACCGGGGATGTGCCTGCAACCAATGTACATGCCCTTGACTGGAATCGAACCTGGGACCTTTCAGTCCGCAGACCGATGCTCTACCACTGAGCCAAACCGGCTTCAGCTCTCTTTACTCTTTTAAAAAATATGTATATATATTTTATTGATTTTTTACAGAGAGGAAGGGAAGAGGATAGAGAGTTAGAAACATCGATGAGAGAGAAACATCGATCAGCTGCCTCCTGCACTCCCCCTACTCGTTATGTGCCCGCAACCAAGGTGCATGCCCTTGACCGGAATCGAACCTGGGACCCTTCAGTCTGGAGGCCAACACTCTATCCACTGAGCCAAACCAGTTAGGGCCCTCTCTTTAATCTTTAGAAACTTAAAGTGAGATGACTTCTTAACCATTTAGCTTATATTAGAGTGCTTTCAATTTGGAGCCCTGAATTTTATTATTGGGTACTTAAAATTAGGCTGTTTTTTTGTGGCAAGCCATATTCCTGAAATGTACATCTCTTCATAATTTAGAAAATTGAAGAATCTAATATAGTTCATCTAATTCATCACTTAACTTCTTATTAGACAATAATCCATTTTATTTTTACCTGGATGTACAGAAATAATGTCATGTTTATTAACAGTTTCTCTCTGCTCTTAATTTTTTTAACTTAAACTTTAAAAAACGTATGGGGAAGTCATACAAGCATTAAAAGCTCTGGTCAGATTTAAAAGAAAAGAGCTTTAACTTATGACGCTCTATCCACTGAACCAAATCGGTTTCGGCACTCCAGCTAGCTTTTATGAAAATAATTAAAGGGAATAATTGTCAGTAAATAAGGAAAGAAGATAGTGATCAAAGCCATTCCAAGTTTTAAAAAGTAGCAAATGGAAGTCCAGTAATTTTTTAATTTGCAATTTACAATTTCTTATCTAGCAGTGACATCAAACAAGAATGTTTATAACCAGAACAAAAGTGAGCCATTCAGAATAATTGTAGTTAAAACTGGATTTAAAATGTCAATTTAACTAATATATTCAGCTTGTTCTGCCTAATGCGACTAAAATAAATTGGCAATGTTTGCCCTGGCTGGAACAGCTCAGGTGGTTGGAACCTAGTCCTGTGCACCAAAAGATGGCAGGTTCAATCCTGGTCAGGGCGCGTACAGGAGGCAACCAATCAATGTTCCTCTCACATTGGTGTTTCTCTCTCCCCACCTAAAATCAAATAATAATTAAAATAATTATAAATAAAAATGAGAATATTTTACTTTAAAATGTTAGGTACTAAAATGTGACAAGAAAAGGGAAGAAAGAAAGAAATGTATAATTACTAGTAACCATGCTTCCTAGTTGGAAAAGCAAAATGTACTTTACAGGTGCTCTCTCGATTTGTTGCTACAACAATCCCATCATTTAAAGCGGACAAAGTTACAGATCTCAATCAGAGATGGAACTGAAATTCAGGTAACCCTAATGTGCTTCCAACAGACTTTTAATTATATAAAAATACAGCCAAATGAAGACAATTTTTACTTTTTTTTTGTTGCTCACATTTTCAGCATTTCTGAACAGTAGAATTTATGTAAGGACCAAATTTAGAAGGACAGAACAGAAGATAAATAACCGTTATTTTTTGGCGATTCACATGCTAATTTAATCTTTTCTCTCATTATTAACAAATCTCTTCTGTTACCAGTCTTAGATTCCCAATCACACCTCTGATTTTATCATACTCTCCTGCTTCCTCCCCATCCTTTTGCCTCCTCTTCTACTTCTCTTTAAACCCTTCGCTCAAATATATTTTCGTGCTAACTTTAATGACCATAATCACTGCCCAATCTGCTAAACCCATTTACACCAGTGGTCTCTGAGCAATGTAACGCTCCTGCAATATAAAAACGTGGCTTATCAGTGTTCCATACAAAGAGAAGACTGGGGAGCTCCGAGACCTCTGCCCATCCCCCGCCCCTCTAACAGGCCTCCAGTAAAACACAGCACACAGTATCCATTTCTCTTTGCACCGTAGCTTAATTGTAACAGTGTATCAATACTGAGAAATAAAAACTGAATACTAATCCTATAAAACAAAGAGCTAATATGCTAATTAGACAGCAGAATGACCCTACGGACGAGCAGGGGCTATGAGGGGCTGTGAGGGCCAAGCCCCTTGCATGAATTTCATACACTGGGCCTCCAGTAAAGTAATAATGAAGCATAATCTGAAAACTCTTTATTTTGATAACATTCTTGACATTAACTAAAACTCAAAGAAAGGCTTATGAACATAGTCCGCCCATTAATTTTATTTTTTAATCCTCACACAAGTTCATGCTTTTAGAGAAGAAGGAAGGGAGGGAGGTAGAAAGGGAAGGAAGGAGGAAGAGGAAGAGGAACCCGAAACCCAGGAATGTGATTGAATGGCAACCTTTTGGTGCAGGGACGATCCTCAACCAAGCGAACATATTAAAATACTTCTTTTAATTTTTCCCCTCCAATTCATTTGTATAGTTAAAATTTCTATGAGTAATTTAAATGTGTTCAACATTAAAATACCCTGGGGGTATATAAAGAAAGAGAATGTGTAAATTGGAGATTGCTAATCTGTAATATTTGACATAATTTTTTAAGAAATATCAGATACTAGAACATAGTGAACTTAGATAAATTATAGAGAGTTAGAGATAGCTTGCTATTTACCAGGGTTATGTTTAGGATATGTTTAGGTTAGAGAAAAAAACTGAGAAATCACCCATTTCACGATTCAGATACTAACTCTCTTACCTATTACAGAAAGCCGTGTTTTCCTCTCTGCTTCAAATACTGTTTTATCCAAATCATCTAGTGATGGCGATGGTCCTAAATTAATAGCCTACAGAGAAAAAAAAGGGTGATTAATGTGATTCTTCCCCTTTAAGGTTTTGAACAAAATCCTCTACCCTACTATAAACATCCTAGATATTCTACATGGTTTGTGGGTGTTATCAAATCTACTGTCAAATTTTAACATTACTTTTTCCCAAGTTCTCAGTTTCTGTTAGTTTCATATGTACAATATATTATTACACTTGTAATATTGGCTATAGAGTTTTGAGGAGTAAGAATATTAAACGATAGCAGTTACAATGTGTAAGTTTTCATTTAGTCATATTGAAAATATATTAATAATTATAGACTGTAACTATGTTTCATATATTAATTTTCACAGGCACAAACCCTATAGTCTTACTGACAAACAATCCTGATTCATACCTGTGGACTTCCATTTCCTACAAGCAGTATCTTGAGGCTCTTCATATGAACACTGCGATCCAGCAGCTCCACAGCTTTGTCCAAGTCATCTTGAGTAGTTAATGGGATCACCAGCTACACAGAAAGGAACATCAGGGATCATGCAGCCATCAGGTCCTTCCAGGACCATCTCATTCCTATGGGGTAATAACTTAGAGCCCTCAGAATACCTGCCTCTTAGATTTGTCAATATAAGGGAATTCCAAAAGAAGATATATATATCTATCTATCTATCTATCTATCTATCTATCTATCTATCTTCTTTCGGAATATCTCCAGACTGCTTTGCTCTTCTGATCCTACTACCACTAAAATCACAGAACAAATATAAACACTTTTTTTGCTTTATTAGTCATTAAATTATTCCAGAAACACATTTAAAATTAATTATTTAGGATATTTCCATAATATTGCTAAACTTAAGTTATAGTACCTTCACTCCAAAACAGTATTAAAGAGTATACACAAAACTATCCTATCCTATATAATAAAACCCTAACATGCAACTCAACCGAATGGTGGAACAACTGGCTGCTATGACATGCACTGCCCCCCAAGAGGGAAGTGACTGGTGGCTGCAATCGGGGGGGCAGGCTGGCCGGCGAGCGCCCTGCAGGTTGCCTCCCACAGAGGAAAGGGATCTGTGGCAGAGATTGGGGAGTGTGGCCAGCCAGTGGGCCCCCCTGATCGCCCTGCCTGCAGATCACCACACAGATTGGCCCTGATGGCCGGCCGGGTGTAGGGACCCTACCCTATATGTTGGGAACAGTCTCCTAGATTTAAAAATAAAACCTGGCAAGGCTACTCTAACACTGAAAAAACAGGCTGATGCAGCGGTGACATGCATGGACTCTGGCTTGCACATTTTGTGGTCAGCCTGATTCTGATACTTATAACTGTGTGATAAAGCCAGTTACTTAACTTCTCTCTGCTTCAGTTTTTCCACCCATAAGATGGGGGAAATGTCACTACTGCCTCAGAAGGATCAAGTTATTTAAATGCCAATACAAAGAGTATCTGTGACAGCTGCAATGGAGGGGCTCATCTCCCTAATCCTGGTGACTTGACCACTACTCTCTAAACAAATATAAGCTAAATCCTGAATGTGGAAATCTGCTTTCAAATCTGGTTTCCTACTGGATCAGACATTATACTATATAGAAGCACCTGGGGGGTATATGAGAACAAGTATGATACAATTAAACAAAATCAAAATACCTTTTTCTTTTTAAAACACATTGCAAACTTAGCATAAAATGACTCTTTAAAAAATATATATATTTTATTGATTTTATTACAGAGAGGAAGGGAGAGAGATAGAGAGCTAGAAACATCGATGAGAGAGAAACATCGACCAGCTGCCTCTTGCACACCCTCTACCGGGATGTGCCCGCAATCAATGTACATGCCCTTGACCGGAATCGAACCTGGGACCCTTCAGTCTGCAGACCGATGCTCTACCACTGAGCCAAACAGGTTTCGGCATAAAATGACTCTTTCAATAACCTTCAAAGTATATCCCATTTCATCAAAAGGACAGAATAAAAACTGTGAACATATCCCATACTTAGTCTGCTCTAACTAGCACAGTACATAAGCCACTCAAATGTAAAGGCCTAGTAAGTGTGGGGTCTTATTCTATAAATAAAAACCTAATATACAAATCAACCTAATGGTGGAACGACCGGTCACTATGATATGCACTGACCATCAGGTGACAGATGCTCAATGCAGGAGCTGCCCCCAGCCTGCAGGCCTCAGGCCAGCCAAGGCAGGTGCCAGTGGGAGCCCACCCCTGATTGCCTCACAGAGGAAGTAGCAGGACAATCAGGGGGCAGGGCCAGCCGGCAAGCAGGTTGGTGCCACCCCGATTTCCCTGCTGGTTGCCTATAAGGCAGGTGCCAGTAGGGGCCCCCTGATTGCCTTGCCAGTCGTCCCAAAGGTCAACCCTGAATGCTGGTCAGGCCTAGAGATCCTACCTATGTCCGAATGTCGTGCACGGGGTCTCTAGTACAGCATAAATTCCTTCAACACCGGATGCCACTCCACCCAGCCCACAAACACACACTGCCAGTCAACATGGAGCACACAGAAGAGAGCAAACACTTGACAAATGTTGTTTAATAAGGATCATATTCATCTGCACCCAAAACCACTAGCTGATATGGTGTGCATTCATTCTCTACAGATTTATAAAAAAAGATTCCTTTTTTAAGAAAGGCTGCCAGAAGCCAAGATGGTGGAACAGGTAAACACCTGAATTGTTGCCTCGCACAACAATTTGAAAACTACAACTAAAAGACAAAATGGACATCATCTAGAACCACAGAAAGGCTGGCTGAGTGGAAATTCCACAACTATTATAGAAGGAAAGAGAAAAGCACATTGAGGCTCATAGGAATTGTGGAAGGCAGAGGTGCGGAAGGCAGAGATATGGAGGTGTGTGTGCATGAAGAGGGCTGGCAACTGAGTATGTGGCTGGCTTTCTCAATCAGGAGGGAAACAAAAGCTTCCGACTGCTCTGAACTCCAGTTCCAGGCAAGAGACTGGGGACCCAGACTCATATAGGGAGAAACTGGACTGTCTGGCAGCGGGCGAAACTTGAGGGTGGCTTTATCTCAGAGGTGCTTGCAGCAATTACCACGGGACACCGAGAACCAGGGGCCTCTTAGGGCAGGGCTGACAGGAAGCCACTGCAGTTTGCTCTGCCCTAAGATCCTGCCCCAAGAAGCCCTTGCTGCTTGCTCTGCCCTGAAACCCTGCCTCATCCAAGCTGAGCACAGAGGCTTTTGTATATGAATGGCCTGGTTGTTTGAATTCTAAACTTACCTAAAAAAAAAAAAACTGCAGCTGAGTCAGTGTAACCCAGAACATCCAAAAGAAGGCTCAAGGCCTCACAGCAGCTTGCTTTGCTTCACAGCTGGGCCTCATCTGGGCAATTCCAAAACCCAAACAAATAAGAGATCTGGAGGTCTCTCCATAGCTCCTGCTGGATGGCCTTAGGCAGAGGCTAAATTAGCACCTCTTTAGAGACCCAAGAGCCAGTGTACCCAGGGGTCAGAGTGGGACCATTCAGATTACAGCTCCTCAGATCCATAAAGGACACACTCAGAGGGCAGACTCAGTGAGCACCAAAGCCCCACTGAAGCAAGTCTTATCTCATAAGGGTGTTTCCAGCACAAAGTTCTCCCATTGTAGAAACAGCTGATCCTCATAGCCAATTGGCCTGGAGGTCAATTCCTTCCAGTGATACCAACAACAATCAAGGCTTAACTACAAAAAGACTGCACACAGCCCACAAAGGGGTGCATCAAGAGCATCCACCTCAGATAACTGGGGAGGCTGAGCCACTGGGCCCTATAGGACACCTAGCACACAAAGCCATTCTATCAATTCAGGGAAGCAGCCAAAATATGGAGATAGAGAGAAACCAAGATGGCGGCATAGGTAAACGCCTAACTGCAGCCTCACACAACAATTTCAAAAAATACAACTAAAATATAAAGTGGACATTATCCAGAACTACAGGAAAGTTGACTGACTGGAAATTCTACAATTAGAAGGAAAGAGAAAACCAGAAGGAAAATCAGAGGAGCTGTAAAAGCCTAAGATACGGAGACACGGTGAGCACGTGGGGAGAGGAGAGGAGAGGCAGCCGAGTGCCTGGTTGGCGTTCCCTAGCGGGAAGGAGATAAAAGCTCCAGATTGTGCTAAATCCCAGTTCCGACTGCACTGAACCCCAGTTCTGGGTGAGACACTGGGGTCCGAGGCTCATACAGAGGGATTCAAAGCTGTAAGGCGGAAACTCAGGGGAACAGCGAAAGGTATAGCCCCTGAGTCACCGTATTGAGTGCAGAGGACTGACTGTTGACTGTGCCGCTGGATTGCCCTAGCGGGAAGGAGACAAAACTGTGTTGAGTCCCAGTTCCGACTGCACTGAACCCCAGTTCTAGACCAGACCCTGGGGACCCAAGTTCATACAGAGGGAATCTGAGCTGTAAGGTGGAAACTCAGGGGAGTGGCGAAAGACAGAGCCCCAGAGTCATGCATGTTGCGTGCAGAGGATGGACTGTTGACTGTGCCACTGGATTTCCCTAGAGGGAAGGAGACAAAAGCTCCGGACTGCACTGAACCCCACTTCCAACTGCACTAAACCCGAGTTCTGGGCTCATTGGGGGAGAGACTAGACTGTCCAGTAGTGGGTGAAACTCAAGGGTACCTTTCTCTCAGAGGTGCTTGCAGCGAGTACCAAAGGACACTGAGGAACACTGAGACTCAGGAACCTCATAGGGCAGGGCTTACAGGAAGCCAATGTTGTAGGCTCCACCTTGAAACTCCGCCCCATCCAAGCTGAGGCTTTTGAATAAGGCTGTCTCCCTGCATAGACACAGCTGATCCTCACACCAAGAGTGTCTACCTCAAATAACTGGGAGGCTGACTCACTGAACCATACACAAAGCCACCCTACCAATTCAGGGAAGCAGCAAAAATGCCGATACAAGGAAACAGATCACAAATGAAAGAAATGGAGGACAAAAAGAGACTGGATATAGAGTTCAAAACCACGCTTATAAGGTTTTTCAAGAATTTCCTAGAAAAGGCCGATAAAATAAATGAGACCTATGAGGATATGAAAAGGGATCAACTAGAAATAAAGAATACATTGTCTGAAATAAAAAATATTATACAGAGTCCTAAAAACAGAATGGAAGATTGCAAGAATCAAGTCAAAGATTTGGAACACAAAGAGCCAGAGGACACTCCTCCACAGAAGCAAGAAAACAAGAGAATCCAGAAAGTTGAAGATAGTGTAAGAAACCTCTGGGACAACTTTAAGCGAACCAACATCAGAATTATGGGGGTCCCAGAAGAAGAGAGAGAGCAAGATACCGAAAACATACTGAAAGAAATAGTGACAGAAAACTTCCCCCATCTGGTCAAAGAATTAGACCTACAAGTCCAGGGAGCGCACAGAACCCCAAAATAAAGGAACCCAAAGAGGACCACACCAAGACACATCATAATTAATATTCCAAGAGCAAAAGACAAAGAGAGAATATTAAAAGCAGCAAGAG